GTAAAACTTTTTTGGTTGTTTAATGCCAGTTTGTTTGGGTTGTTTTTTGTTGTTGTTTAATTCCATTCGTTGTTTCATTTCCATTGCTTATCCGTATGTGTAAGTTGATGTCATTTTTCAGCTCTGGCAATCTAGGAGTTAAGCTAGTTTCCGAAGACGAAAAAAAGTTACAAAATACGTTGCTTATCTGTTCGGGATTCGGTGATATTCTGTTTTCGATAACGATAGTCTTGACGATAGCAGTCTTGTTGTCACGGTTTAGGAAGCCATTAATGATAGTCCATTCCTACTCAACGTTAGTGCATGTTTAAAATATCTTTTTTTTTTCGCTTGCTTTCGGGCACCGTCTAACTGCGAAGAAACGAACTTGTAACGTTCTTTAAGTCGGGTGTTGAACGGCTGCCTTTTTTGTTTTTCGATATAGATAATCTCTTTTTGCGGAGACAATCTATGAGACCCGCCAACACTGCATGGGCAACGTGGGGTATCGTATCAGTTGTTAAAAATTACATCTCTAGTGCAAACTTTAACCGTATTTAAAGTCATCAGGGCATCAGTGAACGACGGAAGGGTCGATTGGATACAAAGACCCGCAGTCCTCTTTTAGTTAACCCATGCTGTGAATTTTTATTGTTCAACAATGCACAGGATAAATCTCCCACCGGCATTAACTTGGAGGTCCAGATCCAGTGCCTATATATATATGGGGTGACCAGTGAACCATTGATGTGGTGCGAGAAGTCCGTTTTTTTAAATCAAGAAACTCACTAGCAGACGCTCCCTCGTCAACAAGTCTTCCTACAGAAATGGTCTCGCCAAGAATCGTCCTGTGCACTTCCTAGTAAGCTACTTTAACATCAATCACATTATCGATATGGACGGTGATATTTTTCCGACTCGACGAAGCGGCCCCCGGAATTCACAGACCTGCAGGTGCATATTGGTTTGATCCCAGGAACAGTCTGCTATTTCACTTGGCACTGCTTTGAAGAATGCTATGGTATCCATACTTTTCGGCTTCTGCAAAACTTATCTGGTGACCTGAGTGAACTTGTTCCACGACGGTTCTGAGGCGCATAGCCCATTTTATTCGTTTATTTATTTGGTGAGGGGGGGGGGGTGTAGTTCAACTATGCCTTTTATGTAGGTACGTGCGCGTGTTTCTGTACGTAGGTGTATAACAAACACTCCACCCTAAAGAAATTTTCTATTTTTGAAAGAAAATCAGATCCCCCCCCCCCCCCCCTTCCGGCTACACCGGCGCACCGAGAAAAAACTTTACCATTTCTGAACCATTAAGACGGAGCTCTACTGCATATGAGAGATAATCTCGCGCTGTAATCGTACCTGTAGCTAAACAGATAAACAATAAAAAAGGATGGAGTGCGGCCGTAAGATAGCGCTTATGCACGTATTATACTTTTTTTTTTCCATTCCACGTTGTAGCTCAAAATTTCTCATTCTTCTTCTTTTCATCACAACAACTTAACCGTATAAAACATGCGACATTGACAAAATTGAATCTTTACAAAGCAGTCGTTTCATTTGCAATTGCTATGATCGTAAATCTGACCATCCTCATCAGCAATCAATTCTTCTAAACTGCTTGGCTTATGCACCAGGCGGGATACCGATTCCATGAAGCCCTTGCATTCATTTCTTCATTCGTATTTTCGACCATCTTTAGACGACTACACCTGGTATGCCATTACTCTTCTTACTAAGCGTTATTAAGAGCTGCACCATAAAAACTTTCTTTACGGACACTAACATTTTACATACAGTTATTTCTCGAGACATACTGAACAACAATATTAGCGATTTCACCGGTAATGTTTGCGAAGTGGCGCTGTCCGATTTTGTAGAAGCACTTTTATGTTAATATTGCTGCAAATTTGGAGGTAAAACCAAGATCGAACGTGCACGTCTCGCAGTTTCTTTAACACACGGCCAGAGTAAAGTTTATTCTATTTTGTTTTTTATGTTTACGTCAACCTTATGAACCAGGTACTTGTTTGTTCCCTATGAAAATTTATACCACTCCTTGAGTACTTTAAAATACGTAAAAGCGGGAATGGCTTATTAACATTAGGGTATCTACGGTCATCAAACATTCGCTTTAGAATGATTTCGAAATTTTCTTGATTAATATTTACTTCTTTGTGGCACCGCTATATCTAGTTCGCATATTTTTTTCGTTTTGATTCCTAGATCATGCTTTATCAGCGATTGATTTCGCGTTATATATCTTACAATATATCTTATCTAACCGCTTGCGGCGCCCCGTTTTACCTCTTTAAGTGGGTGCAGATTCTTCTGGACCCGAATAAATGTTCCTATCTATCTATCTATCTATCTATCTATCTATCTATCTATCTATCTATCTATCTATCTATCTATCTATCTATCTATCTATCTATCTATCTATCTATCTATCTATCTATCTATCTGTCTGTCTATCTATCTATCTATCTATCTATCTATCTATCTATCTATCTATCTATCTATCTATCTATCTATCTATCTATCTATCTATCTATCTATCTATCTATCTATCTATCTATCTATCTATCTATCTATCTATCTATCTATCTATCTTGTCAATATAGCCATAAACGCTAAATTCGGCGAGAGAAAAAAAAGAAGGTAGTGCGACGTGGTGATAAGGCCTTTAATATTACAACACAGGGTATTTGCTTTTGCGTGCCTCACTATTTCGTTTGGCCCTCTGTCCTTATCATGCACAACTTGATGTGCTTCATTGGATAGGTAACTTACATTAATACCGTGTAAGCTGTAACAACCGTACATCATCATCGCGCCACTTATAACAAGAGGCTGTCTCGTGAGTGTGAAAGAGAGCACTCACCAAACTGAGAAAGGGTAAAAAAAAGGTGTATTTTTGTGAAGCATTGCAAGGAAACTTGCAAGTAAAACACTTTGATTAATGCGTTCCAAGCTCACATGACAAGTGTAAGCGCGCACGCTTGTATTCACTGCGTTGGTTGACATCACTCAAGTGGCATGCGTACCAGGCTCTATTGGCGGCAAATAGTACGCCTACACAGAGGTCCGAAAAGGATATGGTTTACACGCGGAGCCTTTACCTGCAGCGAGTCGGGACGTGATGCAAGAATATTTTCCTTGCAACATACGTGCGTGACCAGGAGGCGAATCGATGTAATTGCTCTGTCAGAGAACGACATCGCAGAGGGGTCTTACCTCGACGTGCTAACGTGGTGTAGTTATAACTACACTACGTTAGCACGTTTCCCTGTAGACGCGTATACGCTTCCACAAAGAAAACGTAACTCGTTGGAAAGAAAAGCCACAGACTCATTGCACTAAGTGCGCTGAATGATGAATAATAAGTTATTCGCACTGAAGCTGTAAAGGACAGCCATATAGTTAAACGTCCAATAGCTGTCTATAACGATGATGGATCATGAAGGCCTGCACTAAAATGACATATACGATGGAAACAACTATGTTATAAAACGCCGTAAACTAGTAATGATCAGTCGTAATATTATTAATTCACCTGTTTGTGTGCCTTCGTCTATATAGTTTAACGCTGTTTGTGAACTTAGACCAACTATAACCCGAGACCATTTATTAAAAGCAATATATTGTGCTAATTGTTTTCGCTCCTTAAAAACGTATAACGTGCACAAATGAACTCTCTATTCGGCGGTTCGATAGGATCGTGTATAATACCGAAAACTGCGGCTAGGGTACACTTATATAATTTGTTGTTTTTTTTTTTGTAAGAACAATCTGAATACTGAAAACTCGTGTCGAAAGAGGCAGTTTGGGCTCCGTGATTATAAATGATATATGTAGCAAAGGCAAATGTTATCGTTTCGTTAAGATAATTGTAAAGCAGTTTTTAGTAAATAATGCAAGGCGTGCAATATATGCAACCGAGGAAGGTGGCGTGATGAGGACATAATCTTGGTGAAGCTTTATTAAAGTGCTTGTGGTGTGGCCAGTCATTTAACTGTAGATTTGTACGCTTCACAATACTCATGTAGTGTTAGAGTTTCGGACTTCTATTTATAAATGTGTGGAACTTTGAGGCTAGAGATATTTGGTGCTGTACAGGATATGAGTAGTCAGATGTACGGAAAAGTAGGTGTGACTCGTATGCTCACGCAAAGTATCTCATGCGAAGTATTCAGTGCCGGAATAGGTGAGCTGTCACGCACGAGAAACGCATGAAATCTCGAAGACAGTTAAGCATGAATGAAACATTGCTTTGTATGGTAGTATCGAGTTGCTATGGCCGAAAGGTTGCTTTCATTTGCATTACGTAATCGTTAATTTTTATGATAAGAGAATCTGCAGCTGTTGATAAGTTTGTAGCAACACGTTTATCCGAAGTGTTCCGCAGCGGTACAACAGCAAACGACGCTTGAGCCAGCGTTTTCGCAAATGCGATCGTCTCCACCACTTCAGGAATTCTTCGAAGTCATGTTTTGGTGAAAAAACTTGATTTTTCGGAAATGTGCTTTCTGTTTTAAGTGCCCTCCTGTAATATTAAAGACCGGCTATCTGCTTCATGCCATAGCATACAGCGAACATTTACGGAGACATATGTAATGGAGGTTTCGGAGTGGCAGCCTCATGCTTTCCGCGAGATGGTGCAAGGATACTTCGAATTTACCGCGCAAGCGTTCGTTGCACTTTATCGAATGAACCACTCTCGCAGAGCTCCGTGCAACGTACAACATCCCGCGCATTGTGAGAGAGTGGTCGTCCTCTTTCTAGTCGTGCGCTCAATCTGACAGAAATGTCAGGCCCGCCTGAGCTGTTCTACGACTTTACGAGGAATTTTTTCGAGCGAATCAAAGGTAAAACAAGTAAAGCAGATCGCTTCGCGCCATCCGGCCTCGCAGACGACGCCGCGAACAGGACGCGTCTCCGCATTGGCGATGCCAGCTTCCCGGAAGTGACGACAGCCGGTGCACCCGGCTTCCCGTCCTCAGCTGACAAGCAACAGCAGCAGCGCGGCGCGCGCCTCGCGCTCGGCACGCAGTCGGTGGTCGAGCTTACGCGGAGTACGTATGTGTGCGTGCAACGTGTTGTGTGTGGTCTCTGTGGTGAAGTTGACAGTGGTTTCTATTTTGTTGGCGGCCTGTTCCTGAGCCGCCTCGCCCGCCGTGCGAGCGGCACCGATGTGACCTCCCGTCTATTTTCTTTATTTTCGTTGAGGACCCGATACCGACCAAGGTGGCGAAGATGCGAGCCGAAGACATCTTGGCCGAGGAGCAGCTCCTCAACGGCCGAAGCATGCTCGGATTTGAACACACTCTTGTAAGTAAACCAGTTCCCAATCCCCCCACGATGCGGCAGCTGTCCTGCCCGGTTCCGTCCTTTCGCTGAGAACCTCTCGGAATGGAAACCAGTCGACGCAGTTTCTTTTGACACCAGCCGCGCTTTGGAAGTTTACATGATCATTCCTTGTGCGCGTCGCTGAAAAGGCTGGTGTTCTTATGTTCCGCTATCAGGCTTTCGAAAATAAGATAAGGGAAGCCTCGGTTACGCAAGCGTGTTTCTTGTGGCGTGCGCGATGTTGGCGGTGTCGTGCGGTGTGCTGGCGATTCTCTTGTTAAATGTGTGGTGGCTCCGGTTCTCGCCACCCCCGTGCCGCTGCCGTCCAGCGCACGAGCTTGAATGCATTTGACGTCAGTGCCGATGGTGAAAGATGGATCTTCTTTTCAGCTGCTCGGATCGCTTAATTGCCGTCGATCAGCTGTCTTGCCCGAGACGATGCTCGGCTAGCTGCGATGGGTGTAAAGTGAATCGCCGTGGGCGTGTTGTATGGCAACACAGACTGGCGGCACTGCTGATGTGTGGCAACCGGTTACAGCAACACTTTGTGCGACGTAATAGAACAGGACGGGAACATTATTATTGTTGAGGTACATTATGATGATGATGATCCTACATTAATGCTGGTTTCGCATCGTCGGGGACGGCACGTGCTCCTTTGACCTCACTTTCGTTTTTCTTCTAGACGCTTGAGGTACGAAATATTTGACGATACAAAAGGGCGTGTATCTGACAGTCGCACATTTTCCTTTCTTCTTTTTTTCGTGATTTATATAGCCTCACCACAGGCAGCTTAAAAACACTTCCTTTGCTCTTTTCATGCCCAGAACAAGACAGGAAAAAAAAAAAGTGTTGCATTAAGAAATACCGTTTTCACAACAAAATTCAGTGTAGCAACTTTAATTAAGAAACCGGCCGTAACAAGAGAAGTCTTCATTATCTTAGCGGCTGTGGATACCGAAAGGAAAGTATGTCATTGTTTCCATTAATACATTGCCACGTGCTATACAAATAAACGGAGAATGACTCGCGCTTTCTTCTGTAAATGCTAGATAGTAATCGTTTTACTTTCATAAAATACAATGTATGGATTGTTTATATGTTCTGGCGTCGCTAGTATTGATATAGAGGGGCATAGGAAACTATTCTGCATGTGCGATTCGTCGAAAGACAGCTGTTTCGTTGTCCCGCGCATATTACCTGTAACCTCACTGAAGCTATTGGTGGCGGTGTTGTGGAACTCAGGGAAGTGTTCACCACACAGCTGCTGAGGCGATTTTTCCATCGCTTTGCTCCCGTTTATGATGTTTTGCCAGTTTTCCGGAGCAAACCGTGTTGCTCAACTGCTTCTCCTTTCCTTATTGCACGATTCGGGCAGCTGTACAGTGTAACAGAAACGGCTGTAACGCGTAGCAGTCTGCTGATTGCGTAGAAATACCTGCCGATACAGCTGCAGTGTGTGGCGCATGTGGCTTTATTTCGCAAGCCCTGCAGTCGCCCCTGATAGGGCTCATTTGTGCACCTGCAATTTTAATCCCTCCCCCCCCCCCCCCCCACCATCACACCGAGTCAATGCTGAGGTATCATTCCACTTTTGTTGTAATGCGAGATCTTTCGGAATACCTCTGTACCTTTCATATTTTGTCCCCTTTCCCTCTCCCCATCCCGGTCCCATTGACAACACATATTACACAATTTCTTCATTTTACTCTCTTGCAGAAAGTGAGAGGCCGTAAAACTTGCGAATACAAATATACCAGGCACATTGAAACCTAATGTATCATGCGAATAAAAAATAATAGCAAAGTTGAGAGACAGAAGGATACGCAGGCTATATAAAAGGCAAAAGAGGACGGAGAAATGTATTATTAAAAAAATACTGGGGCTAATATTACTGCAGACCACCTAATCAAGAATAGGTTGACACTGTTTGTCTGTGTGTGTTTCAATGAATGGGTTATGGATTCACCTTGAAAAATCAGCTCAAGCAACGCAATAATGAAGGACGGCTGAACGAGACCGGCGCTGCCTCGAAACTGGGAATGCTGCTAAAAAGGACACATCCAGTGATGCACGATCATGTCACGTGCACTCCGAAATCGTGATACATCATCCAGGGTTTAAAACAAGCTTGCGCAACAGACTCCAAGCACTGAATGATTCCACATGAAAAATTTGAGCTCGCCTTATGACAATGGCACTGATGGGTAACTAGTGAACTACTTTTTTTTCTTTACAAATATGACACACTTCAACGATTTCCCTTATGAGTTATGGTTCGTGGATTTGGCTAGATTTCAAGGCCTACTTCTAATATTTCGGGGTTAGTGTGCGATACTGTGCTGCTTTCGGTTTCGCGCTGACCTTCTGAAAAATGATTGAGGCGCGTGCAGATATAAAATGGTGCGGGATGGATCGGCCTCGAAGAACAACATGGTTTGCGATTTAGTACATCCTGTGGAAAATACGTTAAGGCTTTCACATAACACACACACACACACACACACAAACACACACACACACACACACACCACACACACACACACACACACACACACACACACACACACACACACACACACACACACACACACACACACACACACACACACACACACACACACACACACACACACATTTCGCAAAAATTTACCGCCAAGCCAGCCTCCGATGTTTTCCAACAGGAAGCGAGATTGAACGGAAACAGATTATACCCATGAAGACAAAGCTACACCATTTTGCCTCTCCGCTACAATTCGCTACCCGATCAGCAAGTTTCTGCAGAAGGCGAGCCTGGAACACTTTCGTTCGCACACAATATTCTTTTCTCCGTGAGGCTGGTATGGCCAGCTTGTATATAGAACGATGGATATAGCTTGGCTCACTAAGTTTTCTTTCGGTTAGTGCACACCTTAACATGGCATTCCGCCCGGAAGTTTTCATTGAAATCTGTTGAGAGATAGAGTATTAGACATGAAAAATAAATAAATAAAACTTGCTCATTTAATGCAAAGAACAGTTAATGAAATCGGTTGGAACTATGCACGTATACAGTCAGTTGATCTTTGCCCAAAGTGGTGGGCGCATTTAAACGTCGTCTCATGAAGGCGAGCCTATAATCAACGAAGTTTTCAGGAAAAAATTGGATTGAGTTTAGATATTATTTTTGCGGCCTTTAGGTGCTGGCTTTCAATTACGATTTTATTATACCTTCACTGGTAGTGCCTGCAAGTTGTCATTATTTCCGTCTTTTTTTTTTTTTTGCTTTCAAGCCTTGCATTTTTTGACAACAGGGTATCTTTGATGGTCAGAGTTTACCCTCTGAATAGGCACTGTAGCGTGAACTTTTGCTTGCACGCTGTGTTGTCGTCCTCGTACGCTGTTCTCCTTCCATTATTTCGACGTTCCTACGACATTTATTGCGCACGAGTTTTTTTTTTTTTCCCATTGACCTCCAGCCGCTATACTTGGCGCGGGTTCCAGTCTCTATCAGTCATTGCTCGAGCACAAGCTGATTGTCTCAACGGATGTCAATAGAGCGCGCCACAGCCCCCGCGGGCTGTCAGCACTTTCGGAGCAACAATCGTTGTCCCCATTTCCAGTCGGAGATCTTGGCCTCGACCGGCCCATAGCCCTATCGTTCCGACCGCGCTGGCTTCACTTGTTTTGTGATAATGACACCATAAACGATGGAAAGACAGGGATGTTAATCAATTTAGAATGACCGGTATGCTATACTACATTAGTGAATCGGATGGTGAATTTCGAAAGTTAGAGTAAAGAAAGACAGAGAGAGAGAGCACATTTGCTTAGACAACGTCGCAGACAGTCACGTATAGGCATCGGCAGGTTGGTACAAAAAAAAAAAAACCACATGCCCCCCCCCCCCCCTCCTTTTCCTCACCTAATCTCGAGCTCATCAGCATGTACTTGTCTTCTAACCAAGCCACACAAACAGTACCCCCTCACCCCACTTTGATGCAACATGCGTTTGCACACCCCCACCCAAACCCTAGACCAAATCCTGCCGATAATATGTGTGTACAACATCACAATCAGTCTAATCAGGTGCTCGTGCGATTCCGTTGTGCTTAAACACAATTTTAGCAACGCCTTCGTCGCCTTCATCCACGATTACTTGTCGGGATGACGTTCGAGGATGGTTGCTGGCGACATCGGTCAAAGCGAGCTGTCATGAGCGATCGTTTCTGCATGCACAGTGAGGATAGTCGCTGATGATGTGCTGTGAGGTCTTTTCGATACAACCGTCATGACAGTGAGCGTTGTCGGCCATTAGGAATAAATAAGAACGCGAAGGGATGATTATAGTTAAAAGAATTAAAAAAAAACAGACATTTTAACCTTAGGCTAGCGTATGGTATACGAAAAACGCTTGTATGAATGAACTTACTCATACCGTGAGTGAGAGCAAGCTGGCAATAAGTCAGCGAACATACAAGACGTGAAAGACTCGCTGTATTTTAGGGGGAACAGATACTGAGTAGCAACAATATTTAAGTTTCGCCTAAATGGCCAAAAAACCAAAAACAAACGAACAAGCAAGACACTTTGAAATCCACAACGCACACTGTCGCTGTGTCTGTGAGGTCCTGCCAAGGCTCGAAATTCTGAAGACTCTTTAGTTCTAATTTTTTCTGTTTAGGTAATCGATATTTTGCCGCTTAATATTGTTCATTGTCGGGGCCTTACGTCCGAAAACCGCTATATTAAAAACGCCGTTGTGGAGGGCTCCGGCAATTCGGCTACCTGGCGTTCCTTAACGTGCACCGAAATCTAAGTAGGTTGTAGGCCCGTGTACTCAGATTTAGGTGCACGTTAAAGAACCCCAGGTGGTCAAAATTTCGGGAGCCCTCCACTACGACGTCTCTCATAATCAAATGGTGGTTTTGGGACGTTAAACCCCACAAATCAATCAATCAATCAAATCTAAGTAGGCGGCCTCTTACATTTCGCTTCCATCG